GTTTAAAGCAACTAAGTTGAGTAAACTTAAGGCNCTTAACTAAGTTTCTAATTAAGATTACGTTGTTAAGCTTTACTTTAACAGACTTACTAGTTGTTTGTGCTTTGTGAAACAAATTATTTTGAAACGATTGTTTTTTTAATCCTTTGAAAAGTATATTTTCTTAACTTAAATCAGTCTAGTTTTATCACACAATAAAGACATACTTTTATTATGAGCTTGTTCTACAAGGTGCATTAATTTAGTTTCACAAACAGATAATATATAATAATTTATTTTTTATTACACTTCTTTGTTTTATTTCGATCCCAAGAAGAGTGGAACTCTTTACAGAAACTTGATTCGTCTCTACATTCAGATATAAAGGTTTAAAATTGCTCTGAGACTTTGATATTGCTCATTGAAAATTCTTGTAATGTATGTAGATCTATAGGTATATAAAACGATGTCAGCTTTATTTTATCCCAACGGTATTTATTTGGTTTGATTTAAGAATGGATTCCTAATACATTATTGAACTTTTTCCAAATTGAATAACTTTACTGTAAATATTTATCTTGTGGAGTTATAATCCATTATAGAATAGAGTATCAATTTATAATATTAACAAAACATCTAACAAGATTGCCTTTTGTTAATACAGACGATAATTTATGGTTAAACAAACTTACCTTAAGTGAAGTTTGACCGTAATTATACGAGTCGCTGCATCCGAAGAGATTTTCATATTTACTAGGTAGTCCACTTCTCATTGTACTAGGCATCGAACATTTTAGAGCATACAATACAAAAAAGTACTTGTTGTGACTCGATATCCGGCGGTAGTGGGGCACGCTTACGTCACACTCCTCCAACCGTCGAGTCGTCATTCATTTCAGAGTATGATTNATTTAATTTTTGCGGCACGAACGAGAAATTTCGATGTTACGATGCCCGCACTATCGAAGCGAATGACGACTCGACGGTTGGAGGAGTGTGACGTAAGCGTGCCCCACTACCGCCGGATATCGAGTCACAACAAGTACTTTTTTGTATTGTATGCTCTAAAATGTTCGATGCCTAGTACAATGAGAAGTGGACTACCTAGTAAATATGAAAATCTCGAGGATGCAGCGACGAAGTATAATCGAAATGTCTCTTCGTTCCAGTTTAAATTACTTGTGTCAACACAGACGACACTCATAGACTTTGTGTAGTTCTCCCTTGTGTAAGCTTAAGCACATGTCATAATCAAAGTAGATCGATATATGTGACTGGTTAGCTGGTGATTAGATGTGCCAGTGTGAGTACAATAAGGTGAATCAACGTGTGTGTGCCGCGTGCATTACGCCGACTTGGTTCACCTCCAGACGGCGTCTCCGCTCCGCTCGGCACGTGTTCTCGGGCGCACTTTGTCTAGTCTAGACGAATTGCATTATGGAAATTTATATACCTAGACGGCTATTTACACAAACCGTATCGAATCCAGCTAAGAATTTCACTACGTAATCCATTTGCAGTGGGCCACATTGAAATTGGTATGCAACGTTGCTAATAGCACAAACAACTGCCGACTGCTCAACAATTTGCATTTGAAAATACTCGTATTACAGTTGAAATGCATTTATGAATTATGCAGTAATAACGTATTTATGTACGTTAATTATTATTGTTGTAATATTTGTCATCAAAGAAGGTTGATTGCTAATATCAGCATCAACAATTGTTTCACCTGTTGTCGTTTAATAAAGTAGGAATGTACGTACATAATCTAAAAAGCTTTCATGTGAGCTCGACGCCCAACAAAAGGCCATAGGTCAAATTGAGCATTCTCTTTTTTATCAGACGCAGACGGATTTTATTTCAAATTGACCCCTGTGAGGCGCGACAGTGTAATCTTAAATTGGCCAATTGTCTTTTTTTAAAACAAATAAAATTGTTTTTGCAATATTATCTTTTTGTTATTTTGATCGTACGAGTTTTTGAGTAATGTAATGGATAGTAGTTTAAGGATACCTATGAATATGTTTACTGTACTTATAAGTTTCCGTAGAGGCACTTACCTAAATTAATTGAAAATGTGATTTTACAGCGCTTTTGGTAGAGCTTCTGCCGGTGAAGGTAAAGATGGCCTATAATACTTAAGTGCATGATCAAGATTCTTCAGTTAATTATATTTTAAAATGAACTCTTAAATGTGTTACGAATTATATTTTTATCGACGCGTAACACTTGTACATGGTGTGCTTGTGATAGTCGACGGTTGCGGTTTTTCACAAAGATAATAAAGAAAAGAGAGAGTATGAATTAGGTACCCGACCCAGCCATGTTTTATAACTTGGCGTAGCTGGCTGTAGCTCGGGAAGGTGCGCCCTCGGAAATGTGTCTCGGTTCCGGCAGGAAGCCGAGCTCTAATAAATTCTGGGCGTGCTGGAAAAGGAAAAAGTTTTATACATATTTTCGCGGAGTAAGATAGAAGATTATTTTACTTAGTTACCTGAAAATAACTTGTATTTCCAAAACTTCATGAAATTAAGGTATTGTTATTTTGATTAGAAAATGCGAATCAGTTACAGTTACTTATTCGTAAATTACAATCTTCTAATAAGGTCCGCTTACTCTCTTAACTATAGCAAGTATTCTTTATACTTTCCCAGGCAGACTAATGCAATTTCTACTCATACGACTCATACTCGTATTCGCAGGATAAACAATTCTCTAATTTCATTTGACGCATGTCACAAGCAATTTAATAATGCGATTGTGGGGACGACGAAGGACAAGGGAGCCGTAGGCTCCACGCGTTGAGCGCTGCTCTACGTTTTATCCTTAGACTAATGTTGGGTCATAATAAGGCCTGGTAAGACCTTTGTTATAGCAGTCCCTAAAACTAGTAGGTAATTATGTCCATTATGTTCCTAATAACACTGAAACCATTCTAAGGTCGAAAGGTTCAAATTAGATGTAACGTAGTTCATCCAATCCGAAAGTCATCAAGACTAGAATCACAAAGTTCTTCAAAGTTATAAGTACTATTTTATATACTAAAACTTAGTATTTAGATTTTGAAAAATACTTAGATCCATATGCGTGCATAGTAAAGTTACATTGCAGCCCCTGTTGTTAATACTAATTTCCGAGTTAATGTCTAGAAAAATAGATATAGTTAGATAATTACTGTGGGATGTAGGTAAGCCTGGAGGAAACGCATCCCATCGTCCTATTTCTGCCGCGCAGATTGTCGTAATCGCGCAGACGACGCCGTGCCAACCGTTAGTTACGGCCGCACCGGCCACTTTAAACCTCATCCATTTTAATTTAACAAAAGTGCCGGCCGATAGCGCGGAGGAAGGACTCATATCCGCAGCGGGTCCCAATTGACTCACGCGCCGATAAACCCAATAGCGATTTTGAAATGAACCTGCTGAAACAAAGCGCTTTCATACCAGCATCGCTCACTGATATTGTATTCAAATCAAAACGGTACTTGCTTATAACAAAATATTTACCTTTAAACATGACCATCCATACACAACGTATAACCTACCAGATTGTAATACAGTTAGGTATGAGTTTTCAGTGTCAAATTCTGAATAGTAGAATATAAATAGCCTGCTGAAACGATGCGCTTTCATCACAAATCAAAATGGTACTGACTGACAACGAAATACCTATGCACATCGTCCATACACACGCATGTATTGAGATACCCGATATACAATCAGGTATGTTGTTTTCAGTTTCAAATTCTGAATAATAGAGTATCATAAATGTAGAATGATAATTTTGAAATGAACCTGCTGAAACAATGCGCTTTCATGTCACCGCTCACTGATATTGTAGTCTGATCAAAATTGTCGCTACTGACGACTGAAACTGAAACTGCTGCTTACTGCCCTAAACGTCATGTGCACGCATGTTTATCCATTCACCTGTATTGCTAGTCAATCAGTATGTAGTATTCAATTCCCAATGAAAAGCATAATATCGTCTCGATTGTGTGGAACACATCAAAGTTAATGTCACACTTAATTTTTCTATACTATATGTCTAAACACTTGGTTAAATTAGCTACCACATTATTTAATATTTGAATAATTAAGTATTATAAGAAATGAAATAGGCACATGAGAGAAACCTTTACGATCTTGTTGAAAAGCGGCGGTTGCTATGCTCGAACAAACGAGGCGTCTGCTTTATACAATCTGGAGGCAAGCGGTTGGTTTGCTGAAGACTTATTTTTAATACCAGTAGTCAGTCTAGACGCCTTGAGTGGCTTTTTATTGTTCCTGTCTGAAGTTTATTGCTTTATGTATTTCAAATATGATAGTTACTCTCGACACGTTTAAACGAACTTTAACGTCCGAAGCGAGACTGATTCGCACTCATTAAGGCTCGCTGGCCTGACTATATTGGATTACTAAGTAGCTGTTGCACGCGGCTTTAAAAATGCGTGTATTCGGATTTTCAATCAATTTTCAACGGATTTTTATACAAATTATTTATAGCTTTAAAAAGTGGAAAAGCATCATTGTAAAACTTTACATTAGGTATTTACGTTAGTTAATATCAAGAAGCCTAAGCTACTTCTACTCATATCATGCTCATAAGCTATTTCAATAGGGTTATTGAATAATTATTTACACACAATTAGATACAATCAAGATAGTAACGAATCTGTTATTCCTTTATAATTCACGATTTTGTTCATGCTAAGTCACGCATACAATAATCCAAGTTCCATTCCGTAATTAAACTAAAAGTTAACCACGTGATTTCCATTCTATCGAGTCCTGAATAATCACCGTACATTACGTAAGGCGCGGGGGGCGCGGCGGGCGGCCATTATTCCGCGTCCCCTTACACAATGTCGCCCGTGACGTCACGTAATGGCATCTCGTCTGCCGGCGGACAGTCTACCGCGCTGCTCTATTCCACAGACTGGGCTAATTGGTAGTAGTATCTATGGTTCTGACAAAGACCGATATCGTAGAACGGATTTCAGTGTTCCTATAAACGAACTGCGAGCTGGAACTGAAGTGAGAATGGCTGTTAGGACTAAACTCCACGTAATGCATAAGCCGGACAATTAACCACCTGCAGACTTCTATGCCAAGATCAGCGACTTTGTGAACATATTTATGATATTATTACGTAAACAAGAAGGAAATATGACATGACAGAGTCCTTTTGCATCCATTTATAAAATACAATGATGTTTGCTATCATTTCGGCTATAGGTGGACAATTTTTCGCGCTCCTTCTACAAATCAATATATTTTATGCTAAGTTTCCTCCGCTACTTTATGTTGATAACTAATAAAAATTTAACTCTACATTTGAAGGTGGGTACGTCTTTACTCTTAGAACACTAGAACGAAAAGAATTGATAGAAAACCACCCCAGTGCGTATTACATTCGCGTGTAGAGAGTTCCAACAATTTCATCATATTAAATTAATTCTACGAGTAGAAGATGTATTGTATAATTGAATATTTTGTAGAGCTTTCAAGCTCTCTCATTTTATCTACATAATTATATGTATATTTGAAAGTACTCGTATTAAGTTTTTCTACAGAGTAGGTAGTAAGTATGTTTAAAAATTGCATTAAACACTTGCATAAAGTAGTTCCTAGGTACGTCAATGTCGTCGTTGCTATGTGGTACGGTTTTCCACATAAGCTCATTAAAGCACGCTACACTAATTTTAAATCACAATTTTATTATGCAACAGCATTTCAACTCCAAAAACTCTTAAAGCTACTTTGTTTGTTATTCAAAGTACTCACTCTTCAACTAAAATATGTAGTAAGACACGGGTCTTAACGCGACGTTTATTAATAAGTTACATTATGTACTCACGGCTTGACGTTTCGGCTACTACGCTGCAGCCGTGGTCACAAGCAGTCTGCTTGTGTCTTACGCCCGTATTCACAAAAATTACTATGAGGTCTCACAGTGCGCGTGAACGCACAGGGTCACACACGAACGAATCACAGAGTTCTATTCAACGCTGTGCGTTCGATTTGCTGCTTCATATAAGCAAGCATCGTTTGTGAATACGTTACTATTTTAGTTGAAATGGAACGTGAAAGTTTAAAATCTTATTCTCACTCTTCAGTTATTTTTTCTAAGAACTAACATACTTATTTACAACTTACGAGCATATACTGTGTGATGATACTATTACACATCCAAAGTTGAGTTATACTTACTCGTATTGTATGCATACAACCTATGTAAACGTCAAAAAAAGTTTCAAGTATTGATTTTATAGTAGAGTTTTACGCATATGAGTGGAATATGTATAGAATAGTTTCAAACAGCGCGGCGCCTGTAACTAGGTGGGTATAAGTTACGAGCCAGAGTTATGCGCCCCAGGCTGAAGCCGCCCGCCCGCCCTTCAACGACATAACCGCCTATAACACGGTGACCTTACTTCTAAATATGACGGTGATATTTCTAACGCTGCACTCCATAAATCACGTTCAATTTGATTTATTAATCTCTTTTGTTGCTAGATTTAGTATTTTTGTTGATAATACTAATTGTGATTTATTCTCGGTTACTTATTATCTGTTGAACCTGTTGTTATAATGTGCGAAATAAATCAGCTTTTTTAGTCTGCTCTCTCTCAATCAATTAATAATTCGTTCTGAAGGTATTTCACACAGCATCACCTAGTCTCGAATAAAATAATTATAGCTTACCTGTAATGGAAACCCATAAATTTCATATAGCTATGATGTATGATGAATTGATGATAAACAGTATTATCAAGTAATGCAACAAACACAATGACAATGCACAATGTTAAATAGGCACATACGGTTCGGACGGAGTAGTAATATAAAATATTATTTAAGATAGAGTTGTTTGACTCGTTTCGCTACAGTAACTGTTAGTACAACCCAGTAGCAACGAAAGCAACTGCCCGGTACAATCGGTTTTCGTCATAGCGTCTATTAGGACATAATAATATTATTATCATAGGTTATGGTCTTATGGTTGAACTCGTATAGAAATCAACGTTCATTGTTTAAAATGCATTGTGTTAAGATTATCAAACAACATCAAAAATTAATTTCTCTACTAGAATCTGTAACAAGTCTAGTAGGACGTAAGTATCATAGGTTATGGTTGAACCCGTATTGATAAAATCATGTTCATTGTTTCTAATGCATTGTGTTGTCTTGTTACCTTTATCTAATAACAACATCAGAAATGTAATTCCTCTACTAGTAGAGTCTGGAACAAAAATATAATGTCAATATAAATAATGCAGTCCTCTAACAAGCTTTCGTAATTTATAAGTTGCAACAGACTCAGACGGACATCAAATTGCGACGTAGATTGCGGCGTCGCGACGTCTACCCTCCATTCATACAAAAAATCCGCAATGATACAACGTGCATAGGCGAACTGGCTTGGGTCGGGCGGGTGGCCTTAACCTTGAACACAACCGTCTGACCCCTGCGCCCCCCTTCTCCCCCCACTACCCTTTACGACCCCTTCCTTTCCCGTCTAGCCTCAGACCCGATAAATGAGCCTTAAGGGCGTGTTAAATACACGCAACGCTAAGTCCACAAGTCCATTAATCGCCGAGTACAGCTTAGAGAAATGGAAAATCCGGTAATCTTTAATAAGTTGTGACATCAAAGCATTTATTATATCTTTCACATGATAAACTGAAAGTGGAAACATAGATAACCAGCTAACCACTAAATATTTATAATTTTTGATAATAATAAGTGGTCACCTTGAGCATAAACTTGAGTCCCTATATTCTGGTACATATGTAGAGTTTGTCATCTAGCGAGAGGTGGCTATTCAATTACGAAATGTATTTAAATACTTTAACGTTTAACTTCTAATAAACTTTCTCCCTGACTCATGCAGCTAAGGTCACTCTTTGTTTTCACAAAAGCGTAAAGGCACTATATCTATTTATGAAATACACTTTTAAAGTACCTATCAGTATTTCTATTGGAATAACTTTAAAAGTTTAATATTTTTGCTCTGTAAGGAGATCATTTCTAAGAAATTTGAACATAATTTGCATTGACCTTTCGTCTTTTGATGCGGCGCAAAAGTATTGTTGAAGGCATTTTTATACGTCTTTGGAGATAGACAGACTAGAATCATAGGAATTTAATAATGTCGCACTTAATGGATTCCTAAGTATTCAGTAATAATACGATTAAATATTATCAATAGGAGGTGTATTTTTATTGATCACGTTGTAAAACTTTACAAACAGTAACACAAACATTTTAAAAAGCTTTTAATGTTAATTTTCCGAGAAAAATCACTCAGGCCAAAAGTTTCTTTCATACATTTTTGATAAGTTGCTGTAGGGCGTGTAGGGCTTAGGTAACAAGTTGTTTTATTAAGGAAAATATACCAATACATGCTACTTTTCAAAGTTTTCGAGTCATCCTGAAATACCTACTAAGGATTTATTTTTATGTAAATCCTAATCTATTAACAGCCTTTATCTAGTTACTATATCTGTTGGTGCGAAACCTGATTAATACATTCGCAATCTAATATGAAAATTGTTTTATGGAATTACCTAGGTGTCCTCTCCTAATTAGAGATAGCGTCACGATGGCCTTAATAATTGTAGGTACGGAATTGAATAAACGTCAAATCTAAGAGTGCTTTCAGCGTCGTTTCATGGCAGGATGTGCCGTTCTTTTCATGATGCGGTGCACGTTCAAATGTTACGTTGCGAGAATGCGAGTCCCCTCGCTTCGGGACTTGCATCTCCTCGCTGGAATACCTGGCTTTCGGGAGCTCCTTTGCGTAGCATGCATCGTTGTCTTCACGAAACTTTTATTACATTCTTAAGACGAATTCTTTTCGTTTATTAAATACTTACCAACTTACAGCTGCTACTTTGTGTCTGAAAGCGGAGTATATTCTATGTATAATTCAGACCAGCAGTCATATATTTTTACAATTCATTTTATTTTTTCTGGTCCATTTATCATCGCTATACCTAGCCCCAAAACCACTTCCATTTTCTTTCGAGAAAGTTGTAATGTATTCTTCAGCTAAATTATTTTCTGTTCATGTGTCACTGAAGTTTTAATCATACTCGTATTTTGTCTAATTTAAGACATCGTTAAGGTTGTCAGAAAATAATTGAATATTAGATTTTATCAAAAGCTAACGTGTGCAGAAAACGTGTAGTAGATACCAACCTATTACTTAGTACCAGCAGTAAAGTATGTAGGTGTCTGTCTACCTACGTATGAAGTTCTTTTATTCTCAAATGCTTCTTAATAAATATCTATGTCTGAGAGTTATTCATTTTCAGAAATAAGTTTCCACTAAATGATTCATTCAAACGTCATTTTCTTCTGTATGATTAATATAAGCACTAAGGTTATCTACTTCAAAAAATCTCGAAATTTCATTTGTTTCGCTGGTGATTCATTAAAAGTTTCCTATTGTATCTTATCTACCGTGGATCAATCAGACCGTGGTGTCAGCACAATGGGTCACCGCGACCTGGCGTCCTCCAGACGGCATGGCGACCATGCCCTCCTGTCGCTGTACACCTGACACCAATTATGCTGAGTGTAAGCGAGTCCGGCGCAGAAGCCGCAATGCATTACGAAAAATAAAACGGCACGAATATGATCTGCATTCCATAAATATAAATTGCTTATCTCATCATCTGAGGCGACCATATCAGTTTCACAAACCGTCAAATTAGCATTCAAATCTTGTTTACATTATTATTGGTGATTTATGCATCTAACACAAGATAATGTTTATTATAAACAAACATTTGTGACAGCTGTATGTAATAAAGTGGTAAAAAAAGTAATCAAACTTTCTTTTTCTATGCTACTCGTACGTCGTCTGAGTCTGACCTTACTCCTGAGGACGCACTGCACCGAATAACCTAACGACTTTTGCAATAGTCTTGACTTGATTGACAAGTCGTCGGGACCTAAACCTTAAATCTTGCAAGTCATCTATAAAAAGGCTAATTCAATGACATTCATAAGTAATAATCGTCTGTCTAGTCGCATCGTATGAGCTTCGTCTAGCGTGGGAGTAAACGAAATTGTTAAGATTTAAGCATTTTTATTTTTAAAAGTTCACTTTATTTAACGAATATACTTAGTTTTTTTAAACGATGTTACTCGACCCTCTCGACTCTCGTTTGTGTAAAGTTAAATACAAACTGCAAGTGTATTTTGCGTAGGTATACCTACCTAGCTAATTTCAAACGTTTTCTTATAATTTTAAAGATTAAGATTAAGTAGGTAGATACTGCCTATTATTTCGATTTTAATATCTCTAATAATGAAACGTGAAACAAATTACGAGTAGACAGCGTTTTTCAATAATATTTATGAAGGGAAATTGGCGTAAGATCTTACTCGTTTTTCACCAGCTACTCATAAAATAATTTTCTCCCTTAACATTTTCTGACTTAGCTACAAAGAACTTGTAGGTAGGTACTTACTCAAAATTTTTTGGAAGATTAATTTCATTTTTAAGTTGCACTTTACAATTGCGTTTAACAACCCCAGTGACAAATTGTATTCGACTTTGATACATAATGATTAATATAATATGTAAGCGTGTGAAAAACGACAAAAATGCCTAGGTATTTTCGCTTTTATGTTCGTAGATAGGCTATGATACGAATGACATGTAAATGCAATCGTAAAGTAAATTTTCATGTCCATAACTATCCAAAGAATTTCAAATTACAAATTTTATGTAAGTACCTAGGTGTTGAACTGATAAATTAACATATTTTAAACGTTAAAATTTCAAATATGCGCTTTAATCAATGAAATTTACGTCCACGTGTACCTACATACTTAGTAATAAAAATGTGAATATTTTGAAAGTCCTATAAAAGGTAGAAACTAGTCAATACGGCTTTGTATCACACTTGACATTTTATTGAAAACATCAAGATGTTGTTGTTTAAATTAAGTCTTGTGATACTTCTTTGTGAAGATGTTTTTGGGTATTGGAATCCCAACAGAATCTCTATTCTAACGGCACCCAACAAGACGAAAAAACCTTGGAAAAAGACAACCATTCAACCGACTACTGAAGAAAATATTACGTCAGGGAAAACCACACCAACAGAAGAAAATACCTCACCAGAAATAATAAGTACAACTGAGGCCTTACCACCTTCCACGGGTATGGGAAAAACTATTTTGTTATTTTTAATGCAAGTTAAAAAAGTGCATTTTTGTACAAAATGATCGTTTTATTTTCAGAATCGCCTGCTGTGTGCACCACGAGTTTACATAGCAAAGACGACCTGTTACTTATAATTAATTTCTTGGAAAAGGATAAGAAAATTTATGATAACATAATTACCAGTTTCCGGTCGGAAGCGGAAAATGTGCGTGATAAACACTTAGGTGAACTTGAAGCCTTCCATAAGTGGTTCCAAAATAGACCAATGCATTTAAAACACATCCTTAATGAAATTAAAAAGACACGTCAAGAGTTACTGCCGCTGGTCGAAAATATTTCTGAATCATTAAAACAATATCCTGAACTACGAGATACATTTGAAGAAAGTCAAGCAAGCGTGGCCAAAGTGTTCAATAACTTGGAAAGGCAGAAACAAATATGTAAACTTTTGTGTGAAAATGAAGAGTTACATGGTAAGATATTCATTTTACCATGGAAATATTTAGAAAGTCGATGCATAAAATAATTTGTCTAACTCTTTGCATTCTTTTATAATTTCAGATCGACAGATGATCCTTAAAGAAGATATATTTTACGATAAAAATGAATTTTACTGTGGGTCAATAGCAGAAGTTCACCATGAGATACAGTCCAAATTACTTAACTTTTCCGCAGACCAACAACAAGCCTTGAAAGCCAAATTAGATCATGATGACGTCCAGTACGACAACAAATTAGAAGAACTGAAAAAAACACTAAAGAATGTAGCACTGAATGAATTTGGTTTCACTATGTACGATATTTTGAACTTGCAAGATTCTTACTATCACTTTTCAAATGAAATTCATAATGCAAGTGTAAAAGAAACTCTTGATGGAATTAAACAAAATATTGCAATAATTAAACCAGAAATGCTCGCATTGGAAATGTCCGTACAAAAACTCGCAAAACATTGTACAAGTTGCAGTAATAGTCTCAACTTTGTGTCGCGGCAATCTCTTCGTAAGTAATCTTTTATTTTAGTTAACGGAAAATAATCCGGCTGAAATGTGAAAATTCTATGGACAAAAAATTACCGAAAACAGTGGCCGGTAGACGCTATCACTCGCTTGTTATTGATTTCGAATGCAAAATTACTTATAACTAGTATACTTATTCAAGGCCGATTTAATTATTCGATCTTGTTAAACCATAATATCATCGTAACATGTGCACAGCAGGTTTCGTAAATAAAATCAATTATTAATTCTAAAAACAGGGCCATGCACGAAATACATTGTGTATAACGATCGGGTTTTACTCTGTACCTACTCTGTACTGTAAAAGTGGTGTGTTTCCTTATGAAAATGCTAATGTATAAATTTTCCTTTTAGATTCAAAAGAGCAACAAACAAAGGATGAGCCCAGCCCTAAAAACAATAATATATTGCATGAAGTGTTGGCTGCAAAGTTACAAAGTCTTGAAGATAACATTAAAGATAATTACACATCCATTTTCGATGTCCTCGATCAAAAAATAAAAGAAGCCAATTCAACTAATGTCTACATTGACGATATCAAGCAAGTACAAGCAGAAGTTGTTGCAGCAACTAAAGCAGAACATGATGAGTTAGCAAAACTTAAACTTACTATTCCCACGCAAAACCGCACGAACTTGTTACGACTAGACAAAGAAGTAAAGGATTTACTAGAAAAAATCAAAGCAGATATACATTTTGTTGAAGAATACCATAATTAATATGAAAATCATTAAGAACTTCTTCCTAAAATAGTATGTTACGCACATAAAAATGTGCATCTACACAACTTTAAATAAATTTTTACTAGCATTGATATAAAAATGCCGTTAAAGTTATTTGTTCCATTTCCACAATTTAGATTTTTTTCTGACTAATCGGACCAAAAGGTAAACTACTACTAATATTGAGTGTTAAAATGAGATATGATGTGAATTTTAGTCATCATCATCATCATTTCAGCCACAGGACGTCAACTGCTAAACATGGGCTTCCCTCAATTAGGTACTTCCACGGACTGAAAGCTGAAGTGGCAATGGGCAGGGCACATATAGGTACGAAGAACTGACGGCCGATGGGCAGCAAGTTTCTGAAATTTTAGTAATTGCAAGGATTAAAAACAATAAAAATAATTGAACAGGGGTTTCAATTATTTAAACGATTTTAAACATATACAGATAACACACATAATCAAAATAAGTTCCTTAGATTTCTTTTTTTAAATGATTTACAATACTTAAGCAAATCAATTTCCAAAAAGTTAAAAAACAATCAAAGTAGGTAATGTATGTACGCATCGGGTACCTATATTCTTTGAACAAAAATATCGGATTGTAATGCCGAAACCGATTCTTATACTCGTATTCATTCGTCCTACTGATTAACTCACAACATTTGACATTCAGACAACCCTGGAGATGTTTTGCGAACGTTTATTGTTATGGCAAATAAAATGAAATTTGAAAAATGCTTTTGTCCTGTTAAAGTTGTATCCTTTTGGCAATGTATTAATAATGAAGGGTGAGTGACCGGGCGGACAGTCGATTACCGATTCAGCGCTCCTCAATAAATCTGAATAGGTATTGTGCGCGGGCGCATACAAAGGTGTTGTTACTTATTGCATTAAATTCGTAAAGCGAGGGTTCGAAGAGGCATTGACATCAATCCGCGGACGTGTCGTGCTTGCGACGCGAAGTAGGTGAGCGCGTGCGCGCAGGCACTAAGCGATGATTCTCTACCGGGTTAACTGTCAACACGTAGGCGCATTAAGATCGAGGTTGATGTTTAATGATGTAATTAGGGAAAACAGACGATCGTGGTTTCATTTTCATGACATGACTGAAAGTTTTATAGACAAAAAAACATTTCTATCTTGGTACTTAAGTGTTCTGGCTGCAGCTGAAATATAATATGCAGGTCAATTGTTAAGTGTAACGTGAAGAGGATAGAACTCTTAATACCTTTTAAACATAATTTACCTAGGTTTTATTTAAGTTTGTTTCATATTCAGCGGCTTTCTTATTTAGTTTCTTGAGATGAGACAAAACTTTAACTCTATAGCTTCTCTACAGCAATTCATACCAATAAGAAGTAAAAATTGTATACTGAGTGTTATAGAAGATAAAAATTGTCCTCTCAGTTGATCATGTAGGTAGGTATAAAATCCAAAAGCGCAATTAAAATGCAACATCACGACGCGGCGCGGTACCGACGTCGCGCCCGTGTCCGACGCGCGGAGGGAGGGAGTAGGGTTGACTGTTATTAATACCTGCAGTACTAAAATTCCCACTATAATAAACTTCCGAAGCGTGTGGTTAGTATACACTACTGAGTAGAGATCCAATGCTGCAGAAGGGACTGCAGTTTCACAAAAATCGCGAGGCTACGACATCACAGACGTCTGCGGACTGAAATTATAGGAAAATTCAAAAACTCTACTTTTTAAGTGGAGAAGACTACGCCAAATTGGATAATAATAATAGTAGTGTTCTTGTTATTGTCATAGTTTTATATCTGTGGTTTTATCATCATCTTTTTACTATTTACTAGGATGAGCATAACGAATAATACGTTAGGCTGGTTAGCGGTGACTTCTGCCAACATTTGAAATCAAATCTTGTAGTTTTTCTTTCCTGATTGGCTATCAGGGTTTTATAAGCTAGGGATGATGTGAAACAAGCCTAATACTATAAATGTGAAAGTTCTCTTGTTAGGGTTTCAACAGTTAGCATTGATTTCAAATAATTTTGATATGACCGTAGGTAGAGTTAGAGCGGTATATTAGTAGGTAGGTTGAGAAACACATTTATGCAACTTTACTTGACAAAATCTCTTAAAACCTATATATATATAAAAGAAAGTCGTGTTAGTTACTCCACTTATAACTCAAGAACGGCTGAACCGATTTAGCTGAAAATTGTCAGGGAGGTAGTTTAGAGCCAGGAGAAGGACATAGAATACTTTTTATCCCGTTCGAAATTAAAAAAAAGTCTGCTTATTTATTGCCATTAAGGCGGAACAAAGTTCGCCGGGTCAGCTAGTATCAAATAATTTGTATTTCCTTCCACCCATATCTTGGCAACCCTAGAAGGAGCCTGCACGCTCACAGATTAAACAGGATTGGCACGGCGGCTCCTGCCGTAATGTATTAAGAGAAATTACCAGCTTTCAATTGACGAGTCACTGCGCCCGGCGGAATATTTGCCTGCGTACGACCGGTTCGTACCTACCTACATTGTGTATTGTGTAGGTACAATAGTCTGGACATGTAAAAGAATTGAGTGGAAAAATTCAGAAAACTCGGTAGTCTGTTCATAAGATTTGTTACCAGTTTGGTTGGAAATTTTATATGCAGTCGTGCATTGCATATCGATTCCTAACAGCCAAGATGGAATCAAAAGTATTTTATGAGATAAAGTCTTATTGCGCAATCATGATTTCTTCAATTTAATGTACCTAAATTAAAACGCGACCTCTAATCTTCGTTATAGATAAAAGAATCTAAAAATAAGTAGATGTAATTATAGTTTCCCGCATTATTGTTATGTGCTCTACAAAAACTAAGCCTTAAATAATCCGCATAATAAATTGAAAATTAACAAAGATAAAGCGTTACTGCTACTACGACTGACTCACACATTACACAAATTGGTCGTAGCAAACCTTTATGATAAAGAACCAAATGCCTTTGTGATAAGGACCTTGAAAACTGTTTACTTTTGACCTAGACTGTGCACTACAGCGTGCAAGGTGCATGCACCGTCCGCGACAAGGGCACGTAGGGCGCTGGAACGCCCTTGCGTCCCCGACCCGCGCCGACCTACTCGGCCCTAAGGACTGATGATGACATTGCACCTCCTTGCACGCAGAGGTTAAAGCAATCAGACGACTATAAAAATCGGTCGTTCGAAATTTGAATGTCAATAAACATTTCGGATTTAGAAATAAAACAAATTAAAGTGAACCTGTTTGTACAGAGTAATTAATTTTTCCTTCAAAATATATTTTTTAAAATTACGTATTGATTTGATTTTTTGCGAAAAACAAATCGGAGCGAGACAGAAAATGTATCGAATAGAAAGTGTATTACAGTTTTATTTTGTTCATGATTCAAGGGGTGAGGTGTCCAAGTCCAGAAGTAAGGTAAGGGTGATATAATTATCTAAATTAAGAAAAATATTACCCAACTATAGTAGTTATGTAGACTAATTACACCCCACCTTAGGAGTTGCAAATGACTTCATTCAATGTTATGAAGCTACGTTAGCTAAGCTTAATGAACTAGATAAGTATCAGTGAATATTCATATGAACTATCAGTCTATAAGATTATCTTAAAATATTCAACAAAGAATAGACCCAAGACACATACCTTATTACTTAGCCCTGAAGCCTAAGTTGGTAACATCTTAAAGAGAGATGTAGACGTAGTTCGTGGAATCGTGAATAGTAACCGCTTTATATTAGTTGTTAACAAATGTCTGCAAAGTCATTGTCAAACGTAGACCAAATTAAAAAATATTTGTTTTGTAAGCCTTTTTTCGTATAATACGAGTATGTCTAGACACTAAATCATTTTAATGCTTTAGACCTTTCAAAAAACAAAGGGCTGTAGAAGACCCTACGCTACTGGGCTATTATTAGACATAAGGTATCCTTTCATTAAACACAATGGACACATTTTTTTCATCAATTGTAGAGTTAAATATGAAGTCCAGAGCAAGTACGTACCTATATAATAAAAGCCAATTTAAAGTTATCTGAGTAGAATGCGCCGTAACGAGGTGTCAAGTCATCTCATGTAGTTTTCAGTTGGCGACACGACCACGACTGAATTACAGGTAAAGTTTCAGCATGGCAATTTTAACGAATGTTCTGATTAGTTACTGCTGTCAGGTAGATTGTATGTATGTATGTTATAATATGTTGCGCACAATGTATTTTACCTGTGATTTAACTTTAGAACCATAGACCGATGCTGCCCTTAGTCAACTACACTCAACATCAAATAAATCGCACCTTCCGCGACGCGAACTTTAAAGATTTTCTTCTGACACAATCATGGTGCCCCAACAATATAGGTGTTATTTGAAAGCCCAATAAATATCCTTAAAGAAAAACACATTTAATTTCTAAATAAACGATTAACATGCACCACAAAATTAAATATGACTTGAAAAAATACTTTTCTTTCTTTCTTTCTTTCTAAAAAAAGACCTCACTTTGGGTTCACCTCTAGGATCAATAAGACCAATTTTTATGGTTATTAAAACCAAATAATGATCTCACGTGTCGTGTTTAACAGATGGATAGCGATTAATCCCAACTTAACAGTTTTATAACCATAAAAGTTGGCTCAAGCGTAACCAATTTTTTGAAGAAGTGACTCTGGATCCTTCTAAAGACACATTTATTGGGTAAAAACCTTCCCTTTAATGAAATGAAGTTTAGAACTAGGCTTTTAAATGGTGCTAATATTAGTGGGAAGTGGGGATACATACGTTTGAAAGTGCTTGTCGCGGGAGGTGTGATTTATTTGATGTTGAGTGTAGTTTTCACTACGAAAATCAGTCAAAAGTGGTACTAAACCTTCTTTGCCCGATTTTTTTAGTCAAAAGTCGTTTTGATCGGTTATGAGTTTTGACTGTAGTAACTTAAGTTTGTTCACGGGGAAATACATTTGTATAAAATAGGAAAACTACTCGTATTAGGCGTGACCTTTGTGCTTGTTAGGTTAATCTCTGTTGTCGGTTTAGTTATGGGTAA